CTTCCGATCTCCCCAAAACCCCAAAACCCCTTGATATAAAATCGAAGAAGGAGATTTTGTTTTTAAACCTATATATATATTCAGTGAAATACTCTTGCAATTAATTGATTTTGAGAATTAAATCTAATTACTTTTGTCATTACCCAACAAGGATATATATAGAAAATCCTAAAATTGAGTAAAATATGATGCTATCAAGAGTCCTGCCATTAATCTTTGGTATTAATAGCCAAGACTACTGAGCATATTACTCCCATCCTGGTTTAGACATCAAACTTATCTCTTTCTGGAATATTCTCGCAGCCAATATGGTCAGCCATGAGTAAATTACAATTGAATAAGCAACCCAGTGATTACAGACAGCTGCAAAGGAGAAATACATCATCATCTCCCCTAAGAAGTTGGGGTTTCGGCAATGCTTGAAAAATCCTTCCGTAATAAGGAACTGCTTTCCTTTATAAAGATTGTGCTCTTAAATGAATTGCAAAGTGATGTTCTTTTATGCATCTGAGCACAGAGTTAAAACTACACCAAATATGTAAACCAAAAGCCAAGAATAGAGCCACTTTTTATCAACTATTTCCATTGTGTTTCTACTAGCTATAAGCCAAGCTGGAACCATATATGGGCCTAATAAGATCATCCATGTTGTAATAGCACATGTAATAGTGAATTTAAAATCACTAAATTTATCAGGGAAAAAGACGTGTTTCATATACCAGAAAATTCCATACGAACCATGCATAATTGAGTATAATATCATTTGATCTGAGTAGTTCTCATAGTACTTGATCAAGAATATTAAGTAAATAGGCATAAGCACTTTCTAGCTATTAACAACAAAGGAAACTTTCACTATTTTTGGACCTGGAGGCATATTGAAAAAGAACCAGTCAAGGAATTCTAATAAGAAAGTAACTAAGTAATGATGCTTTGGTTTTTTGCTCAGTGTGTCTTATGGGCTGTCATGAGTTTAATACACTAAATTTGATTTCCTTTTCATATTTAATTTATGTTTAAATTAGATAGCCTATCAAATTCCTAAATTTATATATGATGGGGTTTTGGGGTTTTGGGGTTTTGGGG